AAACCAAAACCAACTACAAAATCAGATACAAGAACTAAAGCAACTCAAAAGAAAAAACTAGGGAGTCAAAATACAAAAACAGGAGGTGGGATTCAAACACAGGACAGAAGGGTACTCAAGACAGAAGGGTACACAGATAACCACATGCTTAACACATTGAGCCACATGACCAGACAGGTAACAGGGAAGAACAAAGACTAACATGAAGGACGGGATGACCAGCAGCACCTGCTGGTCAAACAGGGAAGGGACACGGAAGGACCACAGCAGGGGCTGACCCTGACAGGTGTGTTCTGGACAAATATAGTTTACACAGGTGGCAATATTATTCCTAATATGAATAATATTTAGTGTTTACTGTTCCTCGGTCAAAACCGAGTGACATTAACAACTGTGCAATTAACTTTACTATATTGAGGATATCAAGAATAATAACTGCATTGCATTGAAACACACAGCAGCTGTGAATATTAATAATTATAGCTCTATACCAACAATCAAATATATATACACAATATATTTTTTTCATTTTTAACAATTATCTTAAAACAAAAAAGCGGACCACTAGAAGGAGGTCACATACCACCAGTGGTTCTCGTATCACGGTTTGAGAACAGAGGCTCTATTAGAGTACCATATATTGTATTCCCCGTCACTTACAATAACTGGGCATTTACTGAAGAATTACAAAAATCACCACTTTCAAACATCCTCTGATCTCTGTTTTACTGCAACATAGCTACTGACAGCTAGTCATCTTCTCCTCAAAAACTTTAAAAACCAGCTGAAACAACATTTTTTACTCCCATGTTCTCTATCATCTTCATCTCGTTTATCTCTAGTAATCTTTTCATAATCTTTTTTTGCTCCCTTCCCATGGCCAGTGTTGCCAGTGGCAGTAACACTTTTGACAGCCCTATTGTCACATTTATATGTCTTATCAGTCATGATGTTGCTTCCACCTCCTCTCCTACCAGCAACACAGTCTCTGTTTCCTGCCTCTCTAATGTGAACATACTCAGTCCTCTGCGGTGGGTTGGCACCCCATCCTGGGTTGTTCCTTGTCTTGTGCCCATAGCCTCCGGGATTGGCTCCAGACCTCCCGTGACGCTGAACAGGAGAAGCAGTTTCAGAAAATGGGTGGGTGGGTGGGTGGACATATCCAGCCCTTTCATCTCCATGGCTCTTCCATCTCTGTTTCCTTCCAGCATCTCCAGCAGAATTATGTCCATGAGTACTCCAATTTCTTTCATGCACACTTTCCTTAGGGCCTCTTTTGTGTCCATCAACCTTTTGAAATCCTCTGGCAGCATCCACATCCAAATGGCCTCCTTTGTTAAGAGTGGCAACATCATTTTCACCAAGCTCCTCTCCTTCATTCTTACCGTTACTTTTACCAGAAACTTTGTGTCTTTCATCGGTGCAGCTTTCAGCAGAACCACTGACTCCTGCATTTCCAACAGTAACAACACGTTTTATGATTGGTTCACCGTCAGTTTTCATGTTTACAACACCACTGTGTACAGTGAAATTAAAAAATTATCATAATAAAATCCTCAATGACATCAGTTTTGCTTTGTGTTCAAGAGCACCATCGGCAATAAGAATGTAAGATATTAAGAATTTTAATTAATTAACTCACGTCTTGTGTACAGCAGCATGTAGGCATGTTCAGACCTGTGGGATGCAAGTGTCTTTTACGTACATATATTAGATGAGGGAAGTTGAATAACATCAGTTGAACTTTATTAGTTTCAGTACATTTAAATAAAAAAGTATTGTTTAAAATAAACCAAATCATAGGTTTGAACATAATATAGTACAATATGAAGGAAACTTCTTACGTGATGATGTTCTCATCGACTATCTGCAGGGGAAGAAATATACTATAGGTGAAAAATTCAGCATTGTCTTTCAATGAAATTCAGTTTTGATTTTTATTAATCATTCCTAATGAAGCAGGCATGTGCCCAAACTAGCAAACCATTTTGAAGAAGATAAAAGTTTTGGAGGACATGCTCAAAATCTTCCATCATCCATTCTAGACAACATCCAGTGAAGAAAATGCATTTAATTTAAACCATAGTCGCCATTATAAAATAAACAAGAAACAATCACCCTCTTCATAAACATGTCAAAGGGGAGAGACAGTAAGTAGCTGTACCTTGGGGCTAACTTGAGTGACCCAGCTGTCATTAAAATGGTACCAATTTCCATCCTGAAATGACTTGATGATGGTGTAGTAATGTCCAGATTTCACAGAACCTCTATGTTCAATTATAGCATAGAGCTTATAGAGCTCCTGAAAGAGTGAGAGAAAAAAATCTGAATTCTCAAAATGAAGACATGTTGAAGTCTAATTAATTTCAGCAAATATAAACACTAACAAGAAACACCTGCAGGTATAGTTGCATGTATATTACCATCATCAGGTGGCACTTCATGTACATTCCTCAGACCCTAAGATCTATACACATTATAATTTAATGTGTAACAATTCCCTGCTAGGCCAGTTTTCTGACAGTAGTATTGAAGTCTAAATAACTAGGTAAACTAGGTTTAGATTTGTTCAGCATGGAAATGTTTTTTTTCTTCACTTTTATGTCTGTAGTAATTGATCTAGAGTCCAGTGGCACTGTGCTTTACACCACTGCATCCGATGCTTTGCACTGCACTTGGTGATGTACAGTAAGGCTTTGATGCAGCTGCTCGACCATGCAAACCCATTCCATGAAGTTCTCTATGCACTGTTCTTGAGCTAATCTGAAGGCCACACAGAATTTGGAGGTCTGTAGCTATTGACTCTGCAGACAGTTGGTGACTTCTGCACACTGTGAGCCTCAGCCTGCATTACCCGCTCTCTGTGATTTTACATGGCCTACCACTTTGTGGCTGAGTTGCTCTTGTTCCCAATTGCTTCCATTTTTTTATAATACCACTAAAAGTTGACTTGAATATTTAGTAGGAAGGAAATTTCACAAATGGACTTATTGCACAGGTGGTATCCAATCTCGGTACCACGCTTGAATTCACTGAGCTCCTGAGAGTGACCCATTCTTTTACAAATGTTTGTATAAGCAGTCTGTATGCCTAGGTGCTTGATTTTATACACCTGTGGCTATGGAAGTGACTGGAACACCTGAATTCAATGATTTGGAGGGGTGTCCCAATACTTTTGGCAATATATTGTACTGTATATTATCGAGGTATGACTACAGAACGCTTACTTACTCAGACACATGACTCCAGAACGCTTACTTACTCAGACACATGACTACAGAACGCTTACTTACTCAGACACATGACTACAGAACGCTTACTTACTCAGACACACCCTGCTGCTTTTTCATTTCTTTTTCTAAACTGCCTGCTCTTGTGTCGTGATGCATGTTGAGATTTGGCTAATGCTGCCAATGACGTATCATTAAATATACAGTCTAAAGATATAGTGTATTGGATATGAAATGTACATTTTTCAATATTATTGTCTCATAGACAGGTTGAATCCATGCCTCTAATAAACACAGACCCTGATGATAGGCCATACCACAGTGTATTCCAGAGGTCTATTAGCATTTGTACTAATATTTTTATGTACTAAGTCTTTTAATTTCTATTTAATGTTATCAATGTGTACATTACCAGTGACTGGAACCTTCTCTTGTAACACTTTTTGCATTATCGAAACACTAATGATACAATCTATTCATCAATAAAAATTATGAACTGAAAATACAGCTCTTTTTACAGTACCTGACTGACTTGTAGCTGAAGGGGAATTTCCACTTTGCAGTTGTTCTTCATATACATCATGTAGTTGTAGTCAAAGTCAAACCTCTTCAGTTGTAAGGTTAAGACTTCAGGGTAACTCACTAATTCACATTCCTGAGTTGCAAAGGGTCAGACAAGGTTTAAATTAAAAAATGACCATGAGACATGGCTGAAATGAAATATGCTGTGAAAGAAAATGTTTAAAGCTATTTATCAGGGTAGTAAGTTTATATTTTCTCAGAAAAATATGGAATGGTTACGCTAACACACTTTGACAGATATAAAATATTAATTTTACTTCAGCATTCCACAAGGGTGCTGGTCCATAACGGCTCCCATGTTTCCCACAACTACATTGAGTTGGTTGGGCAACTTTAGGTTGTGGACCATTCCAGAAATACAGGGGACACTGTTGAGCTTTAAAAACCTAACATACTGTAAAATACTTTGCAAACCCAAACCTGTTTATCCTCTCCAATAATATCCGACTTAAATCATGTTTCATTTCCATTTTTCCTTATATACACAACTGCACTTTTACAAAGTTTTACAAACTTTGTTTCCTGGATAGTGGTACTATCAAGAAGTGTGACGATTGTAACTAACTGTACCTCTCGACTGCAGTTATGAGTAATTGACCTTTACTCCACTTGACTGTTACGTATAACTTAGTGTGTACTCACATTAGGTGAGCTGTACCATGCCCGAGCACAGTTGACCCCCAAAGTCTAGGTCATTTGACTAGTGTGATCACTCTGTACTGTGCTTGACCACAGTATGCTTAACCGTGCCCGGGCTCACTTGAAGAGGTAGGCCTGCTTGTAGAGGTCGGCCTGAGCAGAGTTAATCGGACTTGAGCACAGTACACATCTAGTGTGAATGCTAAATGTGCAACTGTGCCTGGGTACAGAACACAAATATGATGTCAATGATGTGACTAACACAGGCAGTTTACATGAACCAAACCCAGAAGGAACTGACCAGGTAGGCTGTACACCTAGTTTTTTCACAAAACTGTGCTGCAAAAAAAAAGACTTTACAGATTGGGTAACGGCAGCCATTTAACAAACATGACAACAAGGGATCACTTGGGTCTATGGCTAAGGTGCAGCATTTTTGCTAGAAATTTCGGCTGATGAGACTATCCAGGAACAGCTAGATGCAACACAAAAACTCTGAGATATTTGGTAAAATGTGGGAGCATCTTTTTATACAAGCGACCCTAATAAATAAAAATCACTGCATTGTATACTAGATAAATGTATAAAAGGACTGTGTGTCATCACACCCAAAATGACCCCAAATAAGTCACAAAAAAAGGACTTAAGTAAATAACTCCATTTTGCAGTGCGACAGCCATGTTTTGTTTGACACAAAAAAGCACAATGATGACAAAAGCGTGTTCAGGCCTGGAACATTAAGTGCAATGTGAATGTTTAATGGTGGGAGGTGGAGAGGGGAGACGCGGGCACAGTCATTCTCGGGCACAGTACAAGGCAACCTGGCCTAGTGTGAGTATGCCCCTAGAGCTTCTTTACAGACACACCACCCAATAAACAGGGAGAGGTGATCCCTCCACAAACAGAAATGGGAAGCTTTATGTAGGTAGTATGTAAGCTCTATGTAGCTAGAATCTCATGTGAATAACAGCTTGAAATGCTTATTTGCATTTATGGCTCACATATGTATCTTGACAAATTGCTCTAAGTATGGTTGCAGTAAAAATTGTACATTGCTGCCTGAATATATAACTTTAAGAAATGTATTACTATTGCAATAACCCACTGTTTCTGTGTCTGTCTTCTTTTCACAAACGTCACAGTACAGCTGATTATCACCATTCAGAACTGAGGGCTTGAAGAACTGCTTCCAACCATCCATCTGTAAAATAAAACACAGAGCAACATTAGGGGATCATCATATTAACAGTGGAATTAGCTTTAATGCTAAATGATCTTTCAGACTGCTAAACTCATATGCAGACCTAGACATTTACAGGCACAAATATATTTTGATTGCTTTACAATTGCCTGTTCAAGTACATTCTCTCAGTGTATACGATCTAAGTTACATAATACAGGAATAGTTTCTATTTTTTTCTCATCAAATTCATGATTATTATCCCTTCTCCGGGGAAACAAACCCTATTTCCTTAGAAGATGTTAGAAGTTTTTGAGACCTTCCATGTTGTACTGGTAAGTTTGGTAGAAGCTGGACTAACAGTCATTACAAGCCCATTTATTAAACTGCTTACCACATTGTAGCTGTGATGCGATTCAATAGCCAGTGGCAGAATCACAAATGAGCTGCATTCTGGTTCACTTTCATGTCCATGCTTCTGGCACTTGGTAGAATATTTAAGTTCTCCATGATAGATCTACATCAGTGAGATATAAATGTAAAAGGATAACTTTCATAAAGTTTATATTGTAAGGGAAATATACACTTGAAAGTTTTATATAAAATTAGGAAGTGAGACTCAACTTGAACACATAATTCAATTTAAACAATTGAAAGAAATAAAATTCACCTTGGTAAAGCTGCATAAACTCACAATCTTCTGAAAGTATTCTGCAGCATCTTGTTCATATTCTGGAAAAGTAAGTTTTATAGGTTTTATTATTTACATTTTCTATATGTTGTTACTACTTAGATAGACTTTAAGCAAAATTCTACCTGAACAACAGTGATCTTCACATGGACGTACTCACTATTTGTGATGCCAAGATTTATTAGAAGACCATCTTCCACAACTGCAGTGCCTTTCTTTAACTTTTGAAATAACTTTTTTAAATGATCTTCAAAAGTTGTACTCGGTTTTAAGCTACAAATAAAGTGAAATATGCAATACTGGTGTTAATGGGAGAAATAATACTCATTGGAATATTGTCTTGTACTTTATGGTTAGCAATAAACCACAATCAGTTTTGCTACAATTGTACATACTGGCAAAAAAGTTCTGAAATAAGCCTTTGAAATGGGGATTTACAGTATTTTGTCAATCACTTTCTGTTTTAACACATTGAGAATCATAAATTAACCAACTGATGTTTTCCTATTTCAATTGATAATAAGATGACTTAATGACAGTATCATGCACCCCCATCCTTGACAATTTCCAATTTTAAATAGAAATATGACCTAAATTTTATTTTATTTATAGTGGACCATGATGACAGGTTTGCAGAATCACTTTCCCACCTCTCCACAGCCTCCCTGAATTGCTTGGTCATGAATAGTGTCTGCAGCACTGCATTCAAGTAGCATGTGGCCCTCAGGTTTTGGAGTCCATAATAAGCTAAAGTTGATATTAGGAAAAAATATCAATTTCAAAAATTCAATTTACCCATGAAGGCACTCAGATATTACCACATTTACACCTGAGAATTAACATTATGGCACATTATAAAAATACAATAAAATATATGGGCTAGAATTAAACAAATCTAACTACAAAATGTTTCCAATATGCATTTTAGGGGGGATTACACATTTTACATATGCACCTCTCAATATAAAAGAACACAATGTAATTTCCATGCTTGACTGCTTACATTTACCGCAGATGGTTCCTTCGGGTCGACACTTCTCTAGACTTTTTGAGTCATCTGTGAACCCACCTAGAGAAACTATGAGGTTAGCATTAGCTTCACTTTAATATACCAATGTACCAGTGCTGCTCACTGGTTAGAAATGCGGAATTCCAGAAAATGTTAACCTATAACAGTTATGTAGTAATTAGGCTCCAAAAAGTGAATTGTATATTGTACGCTAATACATTTCTATTGCTAAAATGTGTGCGCCAATTTTCATTTGCCTGGTCATGTTTAATTTCTCAACGTATAGCTCTGTAATTTTCTCTATAATTTTTCAGAGACATGGGGAGTCTTGAATATACTTGATTTCGCTTATTTTAGTATAATTTAGTATTATATTACTAAAGCTCTACTTACCCAGGAAACACCAAGGTATAAATTTATGTGTCTATCAAAATATATATGAATTATTCAGTAATTCATGTTTATACTATCAAATGACATTGTTGGATAGAGTAATTAAAAGAATGGTATTCAATTACAAAATGGAACAAAACTAATTGAAAGCAGGGGTGGCATGGTGGTGCAGTGGTCACTTCTGGGACCAGGGTTCAAGTCTCCCTCAGGAGTTCCATGTGTGTGGAGTTGGCATGTTCTCCCCATGTCATCGTGGGGTTTCCTCCAGGTACTCTGGTTTCCCCCGACAGTCCATAAATAATCTGAGGCCAATTGGAGTTACCAAACTGCCCATAGGTGTGTGAATGGTTTGTGGATGTCCCCATGTGATGGGATGGTCCCTGTCTTGTGCCCGTAGCTTCTGGACCCCCCCCCCCATCCTGAATAGGAAAAGTAGTTTCAGAAAATGGATGGATGGCTGGATGATTGAAATCGCAAATTGCAGTTTCGTTATTTAAGCACTATGTGGCAGCATTACTCCATTTTGGAGCTCATACAGACCTTTAAACAGCCGCAGTCATCGGCCCCAGAAAGGGCACAAAGTACGCCGGGTCTAGTCTAGTCCATTATTCGATACACATGCGTGCACACGCACACTGAAGTAAATTTAGACGCCTTGTTTCGCGTAGCCTAAACAGTGTTGGCGAGCAACCGGCAATTGCAAAACCGATAGTGATTTTAGGAAGAATGCCTTAGTTTTTTTTAAGTTTCTCATTTAGAATTAAAAATAAACATGACTTTCTACTACCTTTATATAAATATTTTTTATCCTGCGACAAAGTACTGACTCACCAGGTCGATCATAAATACCACACGCGCTGTTACAAGGTTTTTTTCCTTGATTCTTTATCGAAGGTGACTGAAATCCCCTTTTTCTTGTTGCCATGGTGTTTTGCTAAGCGTATATGTGCTGTGTGATACTTCGGTATAAATCACCTGCGATAAGTAAGACAGCTAGGATATTTTCGCCTGGGAGGGGCCTTGGGAAGCATGTGATTAGTACGAAAACAAATGTAAGGAAATTCCGAAATGAATAGCAGATGTTAACGTGCGAATCTTAAAATATATCTACACATTATTTGATCGGAAAACTTCATTTTAATCACTGGAAATTTAACAAGCGACCAATCTTAACTACTGCGCTACCTTAAGATAGCCATGGACATCACATTCTCATGAATCAGTATTACACAAATTTGACACGTACTGTACAGTATCATCTCCCTGCTGTCTCTGGCAGCTTCTGAGCAATTTTCGTCTTCAGTTCTGTAACAGTCATGTTATTCATCTCGTCTTCTGAAAATCCAGCGTCAACTGTTGTTTTCACATTATTTACTCCAGTTACAAATGCTTGTTAAATCTTTCCCATGTTGATTTTTATTCCTGTATATCTGGTGTTATTGTAGTTCTGTTTTTCGACCACAGTGATCAACTTTCACCTTGAACTGCATGTTTTAAACTGAATGGCAGATATACCTTTGAGTTATGATCATTATATGTGAAATCACCCAATCTGCGAAAAATTTCCCAAGTCACCCTCTCAGATTAGTCTGAAAAGAATCACGGGTGGTACCATACCAAATTTATGGAGAATCCCATGTATTAGGTCTGTATATCTAACAGTTTTTAAACTACATCTTTTAAAAAGAAATGCTTTGATATGGCATGTACAGCTTTGCAACTTTGTGGATGCAGTATTGTACTTCTGTTTTTCTGCTTCTGTGCTTTCACTTTCACCTTGCACTGTAAAGATTATATACTGAAGAGTGAATCATAGTTTCAGTGTAAGTAAGTCCTTGCCACACTCAGTGAGTTCCCACTCTTCCTCCTTTGAATACTAGACACATCAAGCACTGATTAACTGTATGAATTAAGCACAGAATAAAAGAACCCAGTTTCAGTGATCTCCTTGTGAAGAATTGAGTGTTACACTACATGAAGCATGCATTCCATAATACACTTCATGAATGTGATCCCCATTTACTCTCCTGATGTTCTTGTTCTTTGCCTAGCATTTTGGATTTGGTTTCTTGCCCTGCTTTCCTGTTACCATCCAGTGCCAATTTGGATTACGTCCCTGGAATACATTTTGGCTTTGTAGACGCTCCTCCACTTATGAACTTTCAACTTACGAACTTTCAGACATACGAACGAAGAGGACTGTAAGTCCAAATTTTGTTCGTTGGGCTCCCATTTCCTGTTCGCAACATATTTTTTTTTCTGCCTGCCAATTCCACCTAGTACGACTTCTGGCCGCTACTCCCACCGTGCAGCAGTGTAGCATGCTTACTCCAACCATCCCAGTTCTTTGTACTTGCGTATACCCTTAAAATTATGTTGAATAACGACATACTGTGCGAACATTTCAAGTTATGAACGGCCATTCGGAACGTAACTCGTTCGTAAGTAGAGGAGCGTCTGTAGAATTCAATAATGTTATATATTTTTTAAACTGGCAGTTATTATTAATCGATTTACATTTGCTAGGGGAGATTAAAATTCTTCATGGAAAAAGTTTGTCCATTTCTGTATTACTAATTGAAAATACCACCATCTGTCTCATTCATGGGGTGTTTTTATGATTTTATAATCAGTTTATGTAGTTTAAGAATCACTTTACTATTTAATACTGTAAGTGTATGCATGTAGTGTAAATATAGTAGCACTTTAATTAAAATATTCTCTACACTGTTTCCTTGTTTGGCTGTTATTCTGGCATGCAGTGAAGGAGGCAGTGGAATATGATAAAAGAATCTTCCAAAGTTCTACGTCAGTGTCAGTGCTGTTGTGGCTTTTCTGTTCTTCGACAAAGTTTTATTACAGAGCCTAATTATAATTAATACCCTTCTTAGCAGCATGTTGTTTAATAATTAACTGTCATTTTTTTAAGTTTAATTTATTAGCCTCTGTCCATTTGTAGTGTGTTGTTATATTCGTATAGTTAATGATCGAAAAGTTCGAAGAGTTTTTCACTGATTGATTTTGACCTGTAGGTGCTGTCATGCCGCTATCCGAATTCCTTCCCCTTGTGACGTATCGCTCAGCTGGGAGAAAGGGGAAGGAATTCGGACGGCAGAAGAAATTTGACATGACAGTAACGGATGACAAACACATAGAGATTTCGTGCTAGTCTACAGTGAGGAGATGTATCGTAAGATAGCAGCTCGCAGCAATGAAATGCAGCAGCGGCCAGAGAAGCGTTATGATCGCCGGAACGGAACCTTCAAATTCGTGAATAGGAGGGATGACATCAGTAAGCATGATAATAATGTGTACAGTGTTTTTAATATTTTATTTTTTAGTTTCATTACATAGGACACCTGTGACTTTAAAATGTAAGGAGGAGGAAAGAGGAAGCTGGAACATGTAATACTCTCTGGGTCTGTGTTAGAATCAGTACAAAAAATATGGTTAATGTAGGATTATTGTTCAAAATACATATTATCATGCTTTTATCTATTTATTTACATCATTTATGTGGAAAAAAATCCGCTGCCTGACATATGTCTGAAGTCTGAGGGTGGCCTATAGTGGTCTATAGTTTTAGTAAAAATGCACTTTGTCTGTAGCCCTGGATGACGACCCAGCGACCCTGAGGGCGGAAATGTCCTGTGGGCATGCTGTCAGCCCAGAGTCTCTGACTGCTTGGTGTCAAAGTCTCCTTGATCAGGTGTGAGGCTTTACTTAATTACTTTATTACCCACAGCTGTTTCTCCCTAAAGCAGCTTTGTATCTCTTCAGCGTTTTGATTGCATTTGCAGGGTTTCTCCCTCTAACTCGAGCTTTGCCATTAAACTGTAGGGTCAGTACAAGTTCACATGTCCGGCTCTGAAGGATGGAGGTAATCAGACGTGTGGGAAGGAGTGGCCCTATGTGGAGGTTCGGAAAATGGCAGTGCTGACAGACAGCGAGCAGAGACATTTTGAGGAGAGTATGGCAGCTCTGGCTGCTGCAAATTTCCATGAATATAAATCAGTAAGTATTATAGTGTGTGAGATAATCACCACCAGTCTGATTGTGCCTGTAAGCATTACTGTCTCATCTTTAATAAATTGTACTTGACTGTGAATATTAGTATAATGTTGTGAATAAGTAGTTATGGAAAATAAACGTCATAAACTTATGCTTAATATTCGATGGCAATATACAGATCATGCCTCTATAGAACTTCGTGAGACCTCAGGGATTATCTTAGTTTTATTTGTCGGATTTCATAAACAAGGTCACTGAAAAAATTGGATTTTTCTTTACTTATATGAAGTGTCCTGGATGCCAGTCATCTGTGGAGAGGAAAGACTTGACCAATCTGAGCGTGCGCTGCACAGTCTGCACTGTCGTAATGGGTGGCACTTACGAATTTTGTTGGCAGTGCCTAAGGCAGTGGAAAGGACCTGCACCACGATCCGACTGCTGCAAGAATGAGGGCTGTACCAACAGGGATCTGTACCTGCTGCAAACATGCCCCATAGCTGTCGTGTCAGGTGTGCAGTGCCCCTCCATACGCGCCTGTCCCACCTGTGGCCTGCTGATCGAGCATAAAAAGGAAGGCTGCAAGAACATATTCTGCATAAGGTGTAAGAAGGAGTTCTGCTTCATCTGTCTGAAGCTCACCCCTGAGTGTCAGCGGACCTGCAGATACTGCAGATTCTGCTCTGATGGTGTCGCCCCCAGGCAGACATCAATGCCTACCTGGAAAAGAAATTAGATATATTCCCAATTAACTCCCTTCCCCCTACAGACAAATTATGCACTCCTGCTTCATATTAGTTCTGTAGCATATAACTTACAGTCAGAGGTGGAGATTTCAGTACTCTGTGACTGTGACTCTTTATACTCAACTGGGTGGTTAAAACAAAATCTTTGGATTTGTACTCTCTGGACCAGAAATCTCCACCTCTGCTTACAGTTGAATCTACTTCTGTCTATTTTCTCTATCTGTAAATGATTGATTTGATTGGTAAAGCATTTTTACTCATTAGGAGAAAGAAATTTCTATACATACACAAACACACAGAGCTCTGAAAAAAATTGAGACCACAGCAAAATGTTCACTCATTTCTCAGTGTATGGGTGTGTAAAATATACAATTTTTTTCAAACTCCAGCCTGGCTCCTCTCTGCTTCTCATTGATGAAGGGCTTCTTCTTGCTTTATAGGACTTCAGTCCTGTTTCTAGGAGGCTGTTATGAACTGTCCTAGCAGTGCACTTCACACCTGCACTTTGGCTTATTTGGTGAAACCACAAAAACTGATAAAAATGAAGACAAGGGAACTTTCAAACGACTTGAGAACCACCGTGATTAAGAAGTTTAAAGATGGCAATGATGCCAAGAAGATCGCCAAGCTCCTTAGCCTCAGTGTGTCCACTGTGAAGAAGATCATAGCGAAGTGGAAGCCAACTGGAAGCACAGTGAACCGGCCTACAGTAGGTCAGCTCATAACAGAGAAAATGTAAAGGAAACTAGTCTGTGAGGTAAGAGCAAATCCTAAGGTGACTCTCAATAACCTGCAAAGCTCAGTATCTGCAGCTGGAGTGGATGTGCACAAGACTTCAATATCGAAGGTTTTGCACAGAGAGGGGCTGTATGGCAGAGTTGCCAGAAAAAAGCCACTACTAAAGAAATGTCATCTGAAAGCTTGATTAGAATTCGAGTCCAGATCTGTATCCAACTGAAAATTGGTGCCGTAATCTCAAAATTGGAGTTCACAAACGAAAGTTTTAGACACGCGAGGCGCAGTAGTGACAAGTTCAACCCCCCCGACTGCGCAGCCGCTCAGTAACTGGCTGGAGCGCAGGCAGTAAGCGCGTGCCTGTTACCATCTCTCTGTATATCACCAATGTAATGTCTGTAGACCTGTCATTACATGTCCTCACCTTCCATAGTCTAGGTTACTTGTATCATGTGTGCATAAAAATATTCAGGCTCCCTGGTCTTGCAATAAAACTGCAATGAAAAAGCAGCAGGAGAGGCAGCAATCATACCTGCCTCACTGAGGGACATATCAACTAAATACTACATGGTATCTTACCCATCCATCCATTTTCTGAAACCGCTTGTCTGTCCTATTCAGGGTCATATCTCTGAACAAACCAGGATGGGACATCAACCCAGCACACTCACACACCATTCACTCACATATGCCTATGGGCAATTTGGTGGCTGAAATTCACCTTAGCATGTTTTACGATTGTGGCGGAAAAACCAGAGTAGTCTGAGGAAAGCCAACAATGACATGGGGAGAACATGCATTCTCCTCACATGTGAGTTCTCCACATTAAAAAGGAAGGAATGTGTGCAATATCCTGTCAGACTGTAATAAACTCTGATCTTTGAGATAGAGAGCAGATCCACATGAGGGATTTCCTGAGGTTTCACTGAAGAAATCTATCACACGGGACATGGGAACTGAATTTAGGAACAAAGAATCTATGAACCACCTCAGTATTTAATTGGCAGGTAAACAATGCAATATTTGAATTACAAACCATACTGGACAGCTGAGAACTGGACCAGAGGCATTTTGTACCTAGTTCACAATAACACTGAAACTCCTCACCAAAGATTTGAACAAAGTTGAGATGCTTTCTTTGCTGTTAGATGTTGTTACATTATATTATGGTAGTATGATTTCCTTTTTGTTCCATGCAACTCCCATAATTATAACTGGCCCCTAATGGACACAGCAATCAAAATTTCAGTTAGGCATCAATGCTTTTTCAGAAAGCAGTACACCAGGAATAAAGAGTTTCGTTAAGTCAATTTAACTTTGTTTAGTTTTATTTACAAAGGAGCTTTTCCTTATTGGTGGTAGTGACTAATAAAAATGAATTACAATTGTGGAAGTTTTTTGCACTTTATCATTTCTGAAGCATTCAGGTATGTTTTTGTATACAGGCTGCTTCACATTGTTTAACACAATTTCCTTCTTCAGTGTGAAATGAAAGTAAAAGTTGCATTACTATCTGCATTAGATCTGTTTTTCTCATTGTAAAATATAGCCAGACATAAGATCTCTGTGCCCTCATCCTCAATAAAGGATTCCCGCTCTATTCATTCTGATGATCTTATGAACCTCAAGTTCCACTGAGTGAGCATTCGTAGTTATTGTCACACCCTGCATCCCTTCCCCNTCTCATCTCGTAAATTTGTTTCGTCGCATGTATATTTATTTTGGAACTTGTAAATTTGTTTCCGCGTTTGTAAATTTGTTTGGGCACTTGTAAGTGTGTTCGTTTTTGCTTGGCTTTGTTAATTTGTCTTGACTTTTGTAATTTTGTTTTCTGAAAAGTTAATTTGATTTGCCCTTATCGGCCACCGTAAATTTGCCCTAGTGGAGGGTAGGATGTATATACACTCTAAAAAATATTTCCTCCTTCCAATTAAAAATTCTTAAGTAACTGATTACCATAGTACTTTTGAGTTTCCTCAACATTATAATAACTAATTGTAGTAATCACATCTAAATTACAAAGAAATCCTGTACTTTTGGACTGGCAAAATGAAACTGGCCCAACTAAAATCAACCAATATAGCCAACAACAGTTAATGGATATAACATTAATTTTGCAGTCAACACCAAGTAATTGTTATACATAAAATTAGTATGTTGGACAGACAACTAAATGATACACTTTCATTCAGCCAATTAGTCTATTTATTTTGGATAAACTCAAAAGGAATAATACAATCAGTACTCCTTTACAAAAAAACTAATTCTGGTGAAAGAAAACTTTAATATTTAGACACCCACTACAATTGATTGCCACAGATATTAGTCTCTACCACATGTTATCGGTAGTTAGTTTTTTAGAGTTGTTTCAGTTTTCTGAGTTAATAGGTGTATGCCAATTTCCTTTAGTACTGTAGGAGTTCTGATATGTGAGTAACTCAATAAGAATCTTGGAAAATTCTCCTCAATAGGTAGGGCTCATCAGGATTAGCATGAGCTAGTCTACATAAATACTTCTTGAGAAAGAGACTTAAACTACTAGGAAAAACTGTATTAGCTATTACCAGGGAAAGCTAATCAATCTTGTCTTTTC